TTAATTAAGGCCTTGAAGCCGAATCTCGCGAAGAAAGAAAAAAAATCCTTGACAGGAAGACGGTACGCACAATTCTGTGACAGAAAAGACGAGGCAAGAAAACAAAACAAAACTGAGGGGGGAACACTATGGGTATGAGCCAAGTTATTTTAGACGACAAAACAAAACATAGAGAGAGCAATAGGAAGTAAAACAGGCAGAGGAAATACTTCGCTTTTTAGGGGCGAAGCTCCTTATGGCGTGGCTTGTGCGTCCCTCGCAGTACGTGACCACCAGTGGCACATACCCGAAATATGTATAACATTTGACCTCCAACGTGGTGCCGGTGAGAGATTTCTTCTGTGCGTTGTTTAACAATAAAAATAGTGCTCAATGTACATGCCAATGGCTGCTAATGAGGAATGAGAGACAGGAGCATTCGGCTTTTAGTCAACGCGCACGCTGCGATCCCCATTAGCAGCCATTGGCATGTACATTGAGCACTATCGGACAAAAAAGGGTTGCTACATTATACTCGCTGGGCGTAACCTCCTTGGTTTTAGAAAGGTTTAGCGAGAATTGGGCCGCAGGGCCATGAATACAGTGAACTAGTATATACCATGAACTCAAGGTGGTTGAAGGTGGGAAGTAGACCCGAAGCGCAAGCCGTAAGAAAGTGTGCGTGTGCCACCTCTCGTTTAGTCCTTGGAATGTCCACTGAATGGCGGTGCTTCTATATGGGGAATATATGATAAAAATATGCGAGATGGTGGGACTTGGAGTGTTGAATAGATGGACGAACGGACACACAGACATATGCATGGATGGACGCATGAACGGACGCAGGGGCGGATGCATGAACGAACGCAGGGACGGGCGCACGAACAGACGCATGGACGGTCACACAGACGGACGCATGGACAGACGAATGCTTCGCCCCACTCTCCATCATTCACTCCATGGATATGCTGCCATTTTTTTCTTCTCTCTCCTGTTTAGCATATGTGTACCTCCGTAAGCTGAAGTAATGTTTCCCAGGTCAGCTTATGCCTTTTCGTTTCCCCCCATATTTTTAAATGAGGCCCGAACTGCCAACGTCGCTAAGGTACAGGTGACTTCGCCGCAATATCACAGTAACGCTTGAATGCCCAATCGTATACTACAAGTATCTGAGCTTACGTTACGTTCAACGAAGTTTTATGAGAAACATTATATGCCTTCTCGTGAGGCGACAATACGTTGAAATAATACTTCTTAGTAAAAGTATACTTTGTTTCAGTTAATACTTCTATTTCGCTCGGTGCCAAACATTTATTCATTCTCAGTGCATGATTGCTTTTTGCGAAAAGGAGATAGCAGCGCTGCCTGAAGAAAGCAACGTTTTTTATATGTGACGCACGTTTTAAGAAAACGGACGAAGGGGAGTTACCAAAAAAAGAAAGAGACAGATAGATAGATAGATAAAAACAAAAAAAAACGAGGTAATAATTCGACAAAGATTAACGAAGCTGGTGTTGAAGCTTAGTACACAGACTAGTGTCACCTGCATTAACCAGAAAACAAAGAAACAAAAATGATTCTTTCCAACACATCACTTTTACAAGCAATACTGGCGGCTCGATAACAAACGCAAGCAATTACGCCCCACGTCAGGCGTTTCACGCACAGCTCACAATTCATCCTGTCACGTATGTGAAGCGAGCAGCTTGCGAAGCCTGAGTGGAAAGAAGGAAAGCGCCGCTTTCTTTTTTTTCGCTTGTTTCTCAAAAAGTGCCAGCGTTTATATATGCCTGGTTTTTTGCGCCAGCGTTTACTCCGTTTGTGAATGGTTTTTGTCGTCCTTTGGCATGCCATTCAATTCATTTCTTTCCAATTTCCCTAACCATTTTTAACCAACATGCTTTATTTCCTCCATATCTTCATTTTCTCTCGACAAAACAGAGAAAGAGATAACGGTTAAGTGAGAGGCAGGGAGTTTAACCACAAAAAAAAATATTCAATTTGCTCCCCTGCAATGGGGAAGGCGGACAGAAAGGTAAGAAAAGAATAATATAGAAGATTAACCAGACACTGCAGCCCTCCAGATAACAACTACAGGCTTGCTCTCTTCCCGTTTCCTCTGTATTCGTGCATGTGTGTGAATGAATATTAAACAATAATAATTTGTCGCCGAAACGGTCGAAAACTCGTGACAACGAAAAATTGGCCCCGTATCTGCAAATGTCGTCGAAAGACGACAGTCTTGAGTGTGGAGAGAGTGAACACAACATTTATTTGATGTTCTGCGAAAGAAAATTGGTGAATTGTATTCCAGAGGCGCTGCGTTAAAGTGCCTCTAGCATGCAGTGGAGGCGAACTAGCGCATCAAGTGACGTCACACGTGAGACATGAGCGCCATCTGGCAGTTTTTTCGAAAACAAAGCGCGTGGCCCTGAGACGGCCGTGCGCGCCCGTCTCAGAGGCGATAAGGGGTAGAACGCAAGGCGACGGGTATGTGCCACTACCGTGTCGTCATAGCGAAGCGTTGGAAACATTCGTTTCTTCGTGCAAGCGTTGCATGACCAGCGCAGCATGATGAACGCTACGGTCCTTAGAATTACTTATGTATGCCTTTTCTAGTAAAAAAAGATGCACATGCAGAATATATATGCGTTGTTATGGTGCCTCACATATGCGCAATAATTGCTTTTTTGTTGACAATCGCACACGCATGAACGCTAAATGCTGAGCAACATTGGTGCGCGCTGCGGATGGGGTCGGCCGTTCGGGGTAATGGCTGGTGCTGCTTAGAGTACCCGGTTCGCGCTAAGAACGAACAAACCGACAAATGTACTGACAGACAGACGGACAGACAGACCAAAGTTTTTGTGTCGACGGTCCCCAAGAAAGACTATCGTCTTTAAAAGTTTGGCACTAATAAAACTTTCGCCATGGCGATACGGCCGATCGCGTCACATGTGAAGAGCCACCTCTTATGTTATCGTTTATCATTTTTTAGTTTACACTGCCGTTTAGTAATATTTATGCTCATGCCAGATTCCGCATATATATATATATATATATATATATATATATATATATATATATATATATATATATATATATATATATATATAAAGGGAAAGAAGTGTATACTAAGGGCTCATTTTTCCGTGTTTTGACACAATAATAATGAGATCTAACAGATATTAAGGCAAGGAAAGTATAGGGGAAGTTATTAGACCGGATTGTAATGTAAGTGTCAAGAAAAGTGGAAAAGTGGGTGAAAAGATAACTTGCCGTGGGCAGAAACCATATAAATATATATACACGGCTGGTTATTTTTTCACCCACTTTTTTTCCTATTTACATTCCATTGGTTCTAATAACTTCCCCTCTACATTCCTTGGCATTACTGTCTGTCAGATCTCATTAATATTGTGTCAAGACACGGAAAAATGAGCCCTTAGGTATACACTTCTTTCACACACACACACACACACACACACACACACACACACACACACACACACATATATATATATATATATATATATATATATATATATATATATATATATATATATATATATATATACACACACTGGATATCCGTCCTTTTTCCCCGGATTACTTGCCTTAGAATCATCCCCTCCAGCTTTTACTTCAAGCTAAAGGACAGTGGTTACACTGTTGCTAAAAAGTAGTATTATTTAATAACATCCTCATCTCATTTCTGCTATAACAACAGCAGGGTTTATCCAGTTTAGCTAGCTAGTTAATCGCAACTCGTGTTGCAGCGTGAAACGGCGGAAACGACTCTTAGCTACTCCCGTAGTTTCCTATAAGTACACTGGAGGGAACTCTGGCGCTAATGTCTATGGGAACTTTTACGCACCGCGCTTGAGCCAGCATGGAAACGATGGGTAGTTCACGGATTTGTCCAATCTTCCTACTTTTGGCTGCATATGGTTTCGAATGGCTTAGAGTTGCTTTGTCACAAAACCAAAATCAGCACATATCAATCAGTTTCACTTTACTATCTTAACTGTTTAGGCTCATCATTTCAAATGGGGTCACGAAGCTCACAACTGCGCGTTTTTTTTTTTCGTTCGAAACATAACAAGAACACATCAACAAACAAAACCGCAAGTGATTTCGAGGCCCGTAAGCACGAATACTAGGCAGATCCGCGCATTATACTCATCATTCCCATGGTCGCTGAACGATCGCAGCGCCAGAGTCCCCTGTAGTTCTTTATAGGAAAATCTATGACAACTCCCATTCCTGGCTTTTGCGGAGCGAGAGTGGATATGTTTTATTCGCCAATGGGCACGATACGCGTTTTGAGGAAAGTGGAGAAATTCAGGTAGATAATCACGCGCGCAATGAACCAAAGCCGGACTGTCCAGCGAGCTAGGGCTATCGACGAGGACATCGCACGATGCTCCCCGCACGACGGCTCCTGGTGGCCTATAGTCCGGGCCAGTGATTCCTCGTTGGATTCTTAACAAAAGTTTATTGTCTACATTCTTTGTATTTATATATCAGGTTTTTTTCTACATCATACCACCTGCTTCTTAGCCAATCGCTCAAAAAAGGAGCCATTTCTCTAAATGTTGACCTAATATACGGATCCAATCTTGAATTTTTACGTTTAAGCAAGAAGAACGGACCGAAACAATTAGTCAAGTTTCATCAGCGGGTGTTTTTGAAACGCACTATATTAAACAAAAAAAAAATCAAGGTGTAGCTCTGGAAGCAAAATAACAAAAGAATGAAGTAAAAAACATGCAAAAAAAATGTGAACAAGACCCTGGGGGCGACATCTGGACATAAAGAGATCGCAGGATTTGATCAATTTGGATGATAAAGCACCGGGAGAAGTTTAAAATGCAACAAAGAAATCAAGCCCCCCACCCCCCCACCCGCCTATAAGATAGGCTTCTAAAAAGGGGTAGCTGCACTAAAAAAAAGCAAGCAAGAAATGCAAATGAAAAACAAAGATATAATTGAGCAAAGCAACACGAAAAAGAACTCACCATGACTCCGGCACAATGGAGGAAAGGAAGTTGGCGTGGTGAAAAACTGCGTCAGAAAACAAAACAGAAAAAGAAACACGCATAAATTAGGAAAATATCACTTATTTATCACTCTATAGCAAGCGCAGAACATGCCGCACTCTTTAGCAATTAAAATTAGAACGCCGTATACGCTTACGGGGGATTCTGTAACGGGATATTTTAATGCAGCGCCTTGGCACTTCTCGACGTACCCGTCCTAAAATTAATGAGTCAGCCCATCCACGAGCGGCACAAGCCTCTTTGGGTTAAATATATTTTAGCTTCTTCCCCGGTGTAGAGTGGACGCTATATTATACGAGTGCCTAGAACGTGTGTAAAAGACGGGTATGGAATGCGGTGTCGTGTGGGGGTGATAATCAGACATTTAATAACCATTAAATGGTTACATAGATGTGATTGGGTTGGGGCCTTATTGGCCTCTTCCCCTTGCAGCATTACATGGAATCCCTATTTCGGAGCTCCATTGGCAAGCAACGCCGCCCATGTTCACTGAACCAGGGCCTCTTGGGCCTTCAGGTCCCGACAGTCGAACAGGGCCGCATTTCAGCCCTTTCTCGTGGTGTTAAGGTTCGAGAGGATGGATGAATTTGACTGGCACACGCAGACTATGTGGAAGGCTTCAGCCACCTCTCCACAGAACTGTGCTGCCAAAAACAGGGAGATAGCGCGGGAAGAGAGTGCTCGGATGACCTGATCGGCCTGTTCGTTTCCCTTGAGACCTTGGTGACCAGATGCCCCGAACAAGATTACGCGGAACTTGGATCAGCGTATCGGCAGCTAGGTTCAAGTGGGTAAAAAAAAAAAAATCTTTCGATAACGTTGCAGGTTACTTGATTTATGACGTTATAATTACACCACAAAACGTGTTACCAGATTGTGTAATTATAACGTGACATCTTCACTCGGTCAAGGGCAGGCCTATTCTGTAGTCACAGCAAAACCACGCCGTGTGCAGAAACCTTTTGCGGGGGGAGGGGGATAGGGAAATCAATGCTATCGATAATACCAAAGCCACGATACGATTATGAGAGTCATCGTAGTGGAGGGCTCCGGAAATTTCGGCCACCCGGTTTTTCTTGACCTGCACTGACAAACACGGGACTCTACCATTTCGTCCACGCCGAAATACAACCGCCATGGCCGGCAACGCAAAACCTTCAGGTCGGCCGCCGAACACCGTAACCAATGATCCACCGTGGCGGACAATCAATACTATCGACTAAAAAGAAACAGTAGATGGCTTACGCCTTCGAGTCGACTTGCACAAAGGCCTAATAACAGAGAGAATATATATATATATATATATATATATATATATATATATATATATATATATATATATATATATATATATATATATATATATATATATATATATATATATATATTAATTGCACTTTTGACCGGCTGACGCCGATTGTAAACGCTGCACATTTTTGTGACAAGGCCAAAGTACGCTACAAGAGGACGCCGCCTGGACAAAGCAGGTGCCCCTCCCCGCCTTATCGATAGAGATCAGACGCCACAACAACAAAAAATCGAAACGAAAAACACAAGGCGCAAGAAGAATGACCATTAACGACGAAAAAATGAGCAGTAAGGAAAACGAGATGCCAGAGCAGGAGAAAAGGAGGGGCACGTCAACGGCAAGTCACGCAATCGAGCTCGCACGGCGCGACGTATGCCTACAACGGTACCGGTATGGAAAACACCACCCCTCTCTCTCTTCCTCTCTCTTTGTTTCTTGCGTTTCTTCGCCTTTCATTACCAGGCGAGATGACGGGCTCGCTCTTTCCGCAAGAAAACACAGCGCTCGATCTGCTTGCTTCTGCCCGGAAGACTATAGGCCTTCCCATCCGTCAGACACAGGTGGGTGAAAGGAGGTGAAAGAAGTGACATGCGAAACGATCGTTGCCGCAGTCGATATGAAGCGAACAAAACAAACGACAGAAGAAAAAGAACTGATGCGACAGTTGCGTCCAGAACTGCGGGATAAGTTACTCAGTTGCCGGCGATGCGAGGAAAATGAACTGCGAAAACTCGGGCCCACTGCTTAACTCTTTAGGTGCGTCAACAAGCGCGGCAAAACGGCGATTTTGCTGCTGCTGCTGCTCTTTATAACACAACATGCGCAGTGGCCGTGTTTGCTGACAGCTGAGGCTCTGCAGCAATACGCATTAGTGAACCCAATCTTTATTTGGGTGGACTTTACGAGACTAAAACCATATAACTGCGAACACCGAAAATTGACCCCGCCCCCGTCGCGCCCCCGTGGCGATGGCGTGACCCAATGACATGTTGGCAAAACGGGCTTTTCGGAAATCGAATAGTTACAAAACAAGGCCTAGACAACGTTAATATTCGTATGAGTGACGGACTACGTCCCAGCGTATAAGCTACATCATCTGCAGCGGTTTGGGCAAGCAGCAGTTTCGGGGCTCCTATACAGAGTGGCTGGCTTATATGTTTGAACGCAAAAATAGTCATTTGCAATGTTCCGACGTAGCAAAATTACTTCTTAATAATAATACTCATAAATAGTGACAGGTACAGGACAGTATGATCCTCACAGCTGCAAGAACTCTTGTGCACCTTGAGTAAAAGGAACTGTCCGCTTTAATTTGGACAAAACGCAACCGGGAGAGCATTCCAACTCGCGTGTTATTATGCGCATCTTTGAAAATTTCGTTTAAATAACAACAACATTGCAGACCCTTTCAAAGTATATTGTCGCCAGCATCGGCGGCAACGCTTGATTTCATTTTATCGCGTGACAAAGACGCCCGCGCTGTACAGAACGCCCAGGTTTAAATTTGCGTCGTATAAGTCTTCGTGACCTAAACGCCGATACTAATACCAAGTAAAGAAAAGGAAAACCCAACAATAAGCTTTGTGAAGGTCAAGAGGCCTTACAGATAAGCCCGAATTCTCCATCTTCAAATGCACATACGAACGACAACGAATAAAAGGTAGCCTAGCAAAGAAGAAGCGAGATCTGCATTTGAGCTCTTCAAAATAAGCATTTCTTTCAGCATAGCATTCGGGAGAGAAAATTTCGTTTCAAGACTTTACGATGCTACATAATAGCTCAGAGCAGTTTAACTTTGCAGGCTTGTCCTAAAGCATCCTACTGGATAGCAAAGGCACCCGCATTAGCAAAGTAAAGGAAAAAAAAGACCAAAGTGAAAACTGTAGTGTCCGTCAAGAAGCGCTCTAATAACTCTTTTTTTACCCTTAAGGCCTGGAACTATAGCGGCGGTATACGCTAAGACTTGTGAAGAAAGAGCGCTGCGGCCCATGCGACAAGGCGCCGTATTACGAGGGAAGGATGAATTGAAAAGTGGTCTGTTTAAGTTTTGCACCAAAAAAGTTGCCAGAATTTTTTTTTCTTCGGGAGGGAAGGTGGCAGGGTATAACCACTTATTCATGTTCGTAAGTGTTTGTATGAACGCGTGTTGTTTGCATGAGCGCGTGCAAAATTTAACAACTTCAATAGGCGGGGGAGAAGTGTTCACACCCTGTCCCCTCCATTCCTCACTATGCGAGTTTATCAGAACGCTAATAAAAAGTCTGCCTTGTTTTCTCTAACACCCAGTCTGTTTTTTCCCTTCTTTTTTGCTTCAATTTTCTATCTTTCGTTGCTTATTTCACACATTTTTCACCTTTATTCCTTCAGTCATTCGTTCCTTTTTCGTCTCTTTTTTTCTTTCTCTATTTAGTCTTGAACGTGACTTCAAAAGCGCCATAAATATTTCTCGCATTCGGGGCCAGTGCTAGCATGATTGATATGATTAATATATGGGGTTTAACGTCCGAAAACCACTATATGATTATGAGAGACGTCGTAGTTGAGGGCTCCGGAAATTTAGACCACCTGGGGTTCTTTAACGTGCACCCAAATCTGAGCACGCGGGCCTACAACATTTCCGCCTCCATCGGAAGTGCAGCCGCCACAGCCGGAATTCGACCCCGCGACCTGCGGGTCAGCAGCCGAGTACCTTAGCCACTAGACCACCGCGGCGGTGCCCAGTGCGAGCAGGAAAAGTGAGGTTCCTGCAGGAATGAATGCGTTTGGCGAGAGGGAAGCAAGTATTAAAGGCGGCAGCGCTGAAGCTTCACTAAAGGCACTGGGCGCCCCTGGCAACGTGTTTACAAAGCATATAACTAAGCGATCAACACGTGACAAACTCCTCTCTCCTCGCTTTTCTATGTGTTCTCATGCACGCCTTTACAGAACACGAAGGGCCCTCGCCTAGTAATCAATCATTATAGTTCAGGAAGTTGTCTTTTTATCTATCTCTTTATTTATCTTCCTCCCTCCCTACCTCTGTTCTTCTCTTCCATAATACCTAGTGGTGTCGTAACAAGTAATCTTCTTTCTTTTTTAATTGTTTTACACCATAATTATGTCTCCCCAAAGAATTCAGATGCCGCTGGAACTTGGGAGGTAAGACTGAAATTTCAAGGAACTATATGCGAGCTCTCTTCTTTGCCTTTCTCTCTATTCCCCTCGCCAATTTTACGCTTTTTGTTTTTTTTTTCTAAGCATAATACTGCCTTTCATTCAGTAGCGAGCGCTGCTGAGTAAGCATCTCGGCGAGAAGAGATTAAAAGATTCTGAGAGCAAAAAAAAAATAAAAAAGGCCTCCGTAGCGTATCTGCTTGCATCCGTGGCAAAGGTCGTCGAAAGACGATAGTCTCATTTGTGGACAGAGAGAATATTTTCATTTGGAGTTATGCGCGAGAAAATTGGTGAGTAAGCGCCACGTGAGGTACGGATGCTATCTGGCACAGTTTTTATCAAGAAACGAAAATTTTTTTAGACGCAGATACGTGGATTTACGGCAGCATCATGTATTTTAGTGGAGCGTAGGAAATACCCACCATTTCTTTCAAAGCGTCCCATCACCAGCGCAGTGTAATAAGCAGTGCGTTCTTTATAATTACGTACCTACGTATTTCAGAAATAAAAAAGAAACACACTACATAGCACTTCCATATTAA